CTGCCCGTTTCATTGCCATGGTAAAAGGGAACACACCCCTACGCTTTCCTTCCCAGTGTCCCTCATGGCTCCTCTATCCCCATGAGGAAGTTCCGCCTCAGCCTCCTGACTGACTGCCCCCACCTAGTAGAAACTCGCAGCAATTTCTCCAGGGACTGTGCAGTGACTCTACCCTGAGTCACCCTCAACAGTATCAACCAAAAAAAAAAAAAAAATGAGCCTTCCTTGAGTCCAAATCAAATGGAATAAAAATAAGAGATATAGTCATTTAAAAATACCGTCCAAGTCAACCCCATGCTAGGAAGGACATAACCCAAAAAAGGGAAGAGGTTCCCTCAGGTGGAAGCTGCATTTTAGGAATAACAAAGGCAGAGCTGCTGAAAAATGTGCAGGTGGCACCCACCCTCACGGGGCCACCTGCCAAGGACACAGCAGAGGGGCCCAGCACCAGCCTGCGTGCTCCACAACTCAACAGAAGGGCCTCACTGACAAGTGTCCACCCAGAGGGGGCGCCACCTTCTGATTTGCACAAAGGTGCCATATGGACAAGCTGGGGCTATGGACGAAGTTGTTTTCCTGAAACTTTGGCTAGTGTGAAGAATCCTAAAGCAAATCTGTCACCTCTGGGAAAGGAATGGTATGCTTCTTTGGTCACGCTGTTTCACATTCCCTAGATGGGCCCTGGCTGCTTCTAAGTATTGTGTCGTGCCTCCTTGTCACAGGGCCCAGGGCATCTTTGTTCACCCGCCATTGCAGGATGGTGTGGGGGTTCCATGCTCAGTGCTAGGCCTGGACCCAGAGGTGCAGATTCAGAACAGGATGGAGAAATGACAGGCATTCTGCTGTGGGGTTTTGTAAAAACAAAAGTAGGCTTAGTGGTCAGCCTGATTACACAAAGAGAAGTTCTTCTGAGAAGAGGCCCTGTCATATGAAAAGTTACTTATCCTAGCCGTGGGCTATTGGTATATTGTGTATTGTGTACCTGGGTGTTGGTGAGGAGGATAAGCCAGCCTGGGGGCTCAGCTCTTCCCATCTGGGAATATGGCCAAGGGTCCATCTTCAGGACTGGTGCTTGTCTCTTCTGGGGAAGAGCCACCTGCAACCTGAGACAGTCAGCTGAGCCTAGGGGGCACAGGCCGAGCGAGCATTTCAAATGATCACCGATACAGCCACTGTGTGCTGGAGGGGACATGGCGGTAGAAAACCACCAGCCCTGGGCTTCCCGCTTTTCTCTGCCCTTGCATGTCACAGCAGGCCCAAGGTTGGGGCAAGTCCACAGCAGGCTCTGGAAGGACCAAATGCTCAGAAAATAGCTTCTTGCCTCCCAAGCAGTGGAGTGCTCATTGTCAGATGCATGAGCCACGTGGTAAACTCTCCCTGGCTCTGTCCACAGCCCGATTTCTCTCACCTATCAAATGGGTTTATAACACTGTATCCCTTCCTGTCCTCTTTGGTCCCCATAGCCACAGTAGAGTCAACTAAATGATATGGATGGAAAGGCTTTATAAGGGCTTTGTAAACTGGTGTGCTGTTGAGAGACTGCTTCTGAGGACGAGGATGATTTATTCAGTGTCCTATCCCCTGGGGAATGGGGATTGGTGGGGCAGACATAAACCCACGGAAGGGGACAGACACAAAGCTGTGGAAAGGGACCGCCTTTCTGTTGGGTATGGTCGAGTTGAGTCTGAGGCTGCTAGTGGCCTCTCTTCCTGCCCCAGGAGGAGGACAGGGCCTGAAGCCAGCTGAACCCTGGGGTTGACTGTTACTGGACCTTCTTTTGCTTAGGCTTAGTTGGAGTTGAGCTTCCAGCATTTATGACTGAAGGAATTCCAACAATCTCTTGCTGCATTTTAATAATTAATTAATATGTTAATTTTATAATCCTAAAACAGTCATTAAGGGAAAAGTCCTTGTTAAAGTTTTTTTTTTTTAATTATTTTTTTTAAGTTAGTATCCCTATCAGCAGCATGAAGAAGCAGAAAACCATTTAAAGAGAACTTCAAACAACCTGGATTCTCCGCTGGATCCACAGGACTTTGCGTGACTTTGAAAAAGTTTCTTAATCTATCTGGACCTCAATAAAATAAGAACTTGGAGTTAATAGTATCTAAGGTACACCACAGTGTTAAATTCTTTGATTGTATGAAAGAAGATCCAATTTATCTGATAGAAAGATAAAGTGTAAATATTGAGAATCAAGACTAATAATTTTAAATTAGTTAAAATTATTATCATGTATTTTTAATAAAATTATTTAAATTAGCAAATTACAGAGATATTTTCATATACATTCAAAACATTCATTGAATCACTAAATTGGAAAAGTTAGAAACAAAATTGGGAATAGCCTGTTTAAATAAATTGTGGTATATTCATCAATGGAATATTATGTAATCATTAAAAAATGAAACTTTTTGTACGTTGAGATATCTCGAGCACTTATTTAAGTGAAAATGGCAAAATCCAAGGTGGTTATGCTCTGTAAAAGGAGGAGAAAATCACATCAATGCAGTTCCTGGGCATAGACAGACCATCTCTTTAAGGAAATTCTGGTGCCACTGATTGTCTCTGGAGAGACTTGCTCTTAATTTCCACCATATAACATACCCTTTTATCTTTTTTTTTTTTCCTTTGGTGGTACTAGGAATTGAACCTAGGGGTGCTTAACCATTGAAACACATTCCCAGCCCTTTTTTATATTTTATTTAGAGACAGGGCCTCACTTAGTTGCTTAGGGCCTTGCTAAGTTGCTGAGGCTGGATTTGAACTTATGATCCTCCTGTCTCAGTCTCCCCAGCCACTGGGATTACAGGCATGTGCTACCAAGCCTGGCCTCCTTTTATCTTTTGAATGTCAAAACATGTGACTGTTTTACCCACTCAAAATCAAACAAAAAAATTTTAATTGAAAAGAATTGCATATGACTTGTTTGACCCATGGTGAGCCTGAAGACTACCTAGGAAAATCAGGTCCTGCTGGGCCTGTTCTACAGATAGAGAAGTATACCAGAAGGTTTACTCACTCAAACAAAGAGACACATCCAACGAGTGGCAGATACCTAAATAATACTTCATAGTTGTCTCAGCCAAATCAGCTATGAAAGGGATAGAATTAAATTGGTCCAGGTAAGGATTAAACCAGGGGTTTCTTTACCATTCTTCCATGACACCCCACAAGATCAGGACCAATGGAGCTACGGCAAGGAAGGAGTGAGCCCTTGCCTCCAAAAGGAACTGTTTATATCAACAATTATTTATGCCTAGTAAAGCAACATGGACTCATACGCTACTGGCTTATGGTCCATCTACCTATAAGTCTTTGACACAGTTTCTCAGACATCAGCATCCATTCAGGAGATGCAAATTCTGCTCAGTAGATCTGAGAGGCCCAAGATTCTGTATCTGTGACAAGCTCCCAGGTTGCTGTTGCTACTGCTGCTGCTACTGATGATGATGATCAGGACCACACGTTGACCGTAGAACCATGCTGACCAATATGGCACCCTAGCCCATGTGCCACTGAGCACTTAAAGTGTGGCTAGTTCAAAATGAGATGTGGAGAAGTGGCAAATGCACACTAGAATTCAAACACAGTATCAAAAAAGAATGTAAAAGGGGCTGGGATTATAGCTCAGTGGTTGAGCGCTTGCCTTGCATGTGTAAAGCACTGGGTTCGATCCTTAGCACCACACAAAAATAAACAAATAAATGAAATAAATAAACTAAAAAAATATTTTTAAAAAAGAATGTAAAAGATCTCATTCATCATCTTTATATTGATGACATGGTGAAATTATCAAATTTTTTGACATGTTGGGTTAAATGCTATATATTATTAAAATCCATTTCCCCTGTTTCTTTTTCCTTTTTCTTCATGTGGCTACTAGAAAAAGCAAAATGACAACATTATATCTCCATGGGGTTATCACTCTAGGAAACTTGAGTCTCCTACTGCCTGCATCAAGGGAGGGAGACACTTGGGACAGCTTCAGCCATCACCCTGTAGTATTTTCAAATGTCTGGAAATGATGTAAGGGAGATCTGATTTGGACGGAGCACAATGAATCTCACCCACCCACCCCTCACAAATAAAACTGCTCCACAAGTGAAATCAGGGTTAAAGCAAATAATCACAGCTGTCATACCCACAGAACCAGGAGTGGAAACACACACACACAAAAAAAAAAAATAGGCGGGGACCTTGCAGTACAAATGCAGTGTAAGGGCTCAGTGTGGAAAGGAAGGAGTATGGTCGCTGCCAGGTGGCTGGCAATGATTTGGTGACAGCAGAAGCCATCTTGTCAACTCTGTACCACTGGACAGTGCTGTTCCCACCACCCTGAGTCACATCCCCACCCCCACCTCCCAAAACAGAGGTCCCCTTAACACCAAGGGCCCCAACAATCACTTGCCCTTGCTGCACGACCCAGACAGACATGGCTCTGGGGATGGCAGACGGTCTGCAGCGTCATAAGAATTGCATCAAGATATTCCCAACTGAGTCCTCCTGCAGGCCCAAAGCAATCTGCAAACCCTTGGGGTAAGTTTTGAACCCCAACTCTCCCAAAGTGTCGAGGCATGTTCTATTTTTAATGACCCGTCCCCTTCCAAGTAAGACGCCCAGGATGCTGTGTAGGTATGAGGGGACAGGATCCACGGGGCGTCTCAGAAACAAGCAACTGGAATGAGGTGTCTCTACTTGAGGCCACAAGGATGGTCACCCAGGGTGGGACCCGTGTCCGTTTGCTTTACTTCCTTCAGGTGGCAAGATGAAGACAAAGAAGAGGGCACAAGGCCCCAGAAGCTCAGGAGGACACTGTCTGTTTAGACCCAGAGCGGGCACAGAGACAGCTCTGAGCACCACATGGGCACCTTTGCTCTCCCAGGGAACCCAGCTCTGTGGACCAAGGAGCCAACCAGCCTTGCCTGGGGCCCAGCCCAGATCCCTTCCACCATCACCTCTCCCCAGATGGGCCCACCTGAGCTCCAGAGGGCACTCACCGGGTTTTATTTCCAGCAGCCGCAGCTTTGGGTCCTCAGGCGGGTGCAATCGTCTCTTTTTGCGCCAGCAGCGGGCAGGGTATGTGTACAGCTGGCCTGGAGCAAGGCCTGTGGACAGAGATGATGTCAAGATTAAAGGCTTCAGGCTGTCAGGGGCCTTGGAAATTACCCTGACTAGCCCTGTCATTTACAGTGAGAGGAAATTCAAGCCCAGAAAGGTGAAGTGATTTGTCAAGGTCACACAGCAGGTTGAAGCCAGAGCCAAGGCTGAATCAAGGTCATAGGATCCCAGACCTTTGCTCCATCTGCTCCACCACGCTGTTCAGGAAGCCTAGGCCAGAAAGAGCTATCACCTTTACCAAAACCAGTTCTGCTTGCTGACCCAAGGAGAACATCAGAGGAACCTTTCGGCCACCAGAAGAGCCTTTCCAGAGCCAGTTTCATCAAGTGCTTACAAGGCAATAGCTCTGCAGCAACTGCTGCTCTGCCCAGGTCCCGATGAAGCAAGTGGAGCGGCAAGAGTCAGTGGGCCTCCCTTGGGAACAGCCTGGATTGAGGAGCATTTCAAAGAAACAGGATCAAAAGATCCAGAGCTACTTACTGGCTTCTCCTACCCACTGTAAGGTAATGGAGGCTCACAGAAGCCAAGGGAGCCCTGGGCAACCTCCACAGGAATATACCCTGCTCTGGAGCCCAGGCTCCATGGCCTGCACAGGCAGCATTCCTACATGCCCCTGCCCACCTGCCTGGGCCTAAAGAAAGAAACAGGCAGGAGTCCATGGGTAGAATCATGTACCACACTGTCTCCCAATGGAAGCCTCCATTTATATTGATCCCTGACACCCCCAGAATCATTGTCATGCCGAGCACCCTATCAGGAGCCTTCTTGTTGTCAGATAACACTACTGTGACTCCTGGGCACACAATGTGGCAACTAGAAGCCTTAGGGGGCACAAATGTTCCATATTAGACCAATGAAATCTATTCCTGGAGAAAAGGTAGGGGGAGGCAAGCAGAGGAAGGTGCTTAAGACGGGTGATTCAGACTGCTTTTTGCAGTCTAAAAAGATCACCTGGTGTCCTCCAAACAAACCAGCAAGCCAGGCAGCCTACTCCCACAAAAATCCCAGTAAGGACAGGACTTCTCTGACTTGCTCTTGTTAGAATCCCCTGACAACCAAACTGTGCCTGACACACAGAAAAATCCAAGTAAGTATTTGTTGAATGAATGAATGAATGAATGAATGAACATGTCCCAGCTTCACCTTAAAGTCACAACTCTGTCTTCTAGGGATAAATGTGGCAATGGCAGCAGGCAACCCCACAGGAGACTGTCTCTGCCTACAATTAGGACCACAGGGCTCAGAAAACATCAGGACCCCATTCCCATCTGCCATCTTCATTTTAGGGCCCTTGAAAGTTAAGAGGGGAAACCACCTTCATTTTTTGCCTTTACAGAGAAAAATCTATAAAAGTTGCATTGCCAAATATCCATCCATTCTTTTTTTCATTTTGACCAGTCATCTTTACCCACTCACTAGGTTGGGTCCAAAGCAGAGGCAACTATCTCAGTATTAAAAGAGCCAAAATGCTCCATGCCTTTATGTGCAAAGGATCATTTTAATTACACAGTAGTTCCCACAGGTGGCAAGACTGTGAGAAAGTTGGAGGTTTTGATCCCTCCCCATTTGATTCTCTGAAGCTATTAAGGATAGCTCATAGGGGGCTCCTGCTTCAGGGGCCTCTCCACAGAGAGAGGATCCTGCAGCTCAGAGCTCCCTGAACACAAGCTCATGAGCACCAGACTCAAGTCAATTGTACAGAAGACCAAACAGATCAAAGTAAGAAAGCTCTCCCTACCATTGGGGAGGGTCCCACTGTGACCTCTCTTTGAGGGAAAGCATGATCGAACACTGAGAAATAGCTCAATGTTTCCTGACTCACTTGAGGACCATGTCACTTCTGATCCTATCATGCCTGAATGGATGCATTGATTCTGGGTCCCTTCCAGATGTTCAGGCCATCACTAAGGTGGTAACCCACAGGATCTCAAGGAAGACCAAGTACTGACTATTCCACATCCCAGAATTGGTCATACCAATTCCCCTTTCATTTCAGATTAGTGATTCTTAACCCAGGTTGAAACCAGACACATCTGGAGAACCTCTCAAAATGCTAATGCCCCAAATTCAAGCCAGACCTATCTAATCGGAATGTAGGTAAGCAAGGAAATTAGGAAATGATTTTTTAAAGAACTTTTTAGACTGCTCCGATGTCTGACAGAACCTTTGGATGTCTAGGCAATATCTATCTAGTTAGCTGCCTGCATGTTTTCTCTGTTGTGCCAAGACTGGTTTAATCCCTTTCCTGTAGGCTCTCAAGGATTCTTGTATTTCCCCCAGGTATTTAATTAATTGCCAGCTTACCTGACAGTCTCCCCTACTGGCTTTATAAGACCCAGGATGGCAGGAATCATACCCATTTCTAGTATCTCCAACACTTAGCACACAGGGCTTAGCAGGCATATCAAGGAGTAGTTACCAAGTATATTCATCCAGAACTGAACCACACTCAGAAATACAAGAAGATAATGACCATTGTTGCTGCTGTTCCTGGTTCCAGAGATGCATTCACCAAGATAAACCATGTAAGAGGCACTCCAGAAGGTGGACTCGGAACTGAGCCCAGAGCCCACCATATCCACCCCACTATGGTGGTCTCTGTGCCTAGGGTACCCTTCTTGCCATTTCCACCCTGACCAAAAGCAGGTGAGTAAGAAGAGACGGGTTCAGACCAGGTCTGCCCAAGGTCTAAATGGCAAGAGTTCAAAAATGCCAACATGTGTCCGGGGCCTACAGCCTTCCTGAGACTGTAGTCGCTGCACTGGTAGATCGACAGCACAGGTAGATCGACAGCACAGGAACAGCCTCAGCCACTCTGCCTGTAGCCGTAGGCCCCCTCTCCTGGACAGCCAATTTTAGTAAGGAGTTTGAATGCCGACAAGAGGGACTGGTTTTGCTTCATTCTTTCTCTGGTAGATTGGAGAAGCCCCATGATGCAGAGGAAGGGCCCATGCCTCCCGGAAGATGTCCCAACACCTGTCTGAGCCTGCTCCTCACCAAAAGATAAAAGCATGGATAACACCTACCTTAGGGGACTGTCCTGGGGAGTCACAGGTACTCAAGAGGAAGCTCTCTGTACCTAAGTCAACTTGGCAAACGTCAGTTGTTGGTTATTATAAGTTAGCTGACTCAGATGAGTCCTGAACCTGATGCCAAAGGTATGACAAGGCACCCACCTTAGCAGTCCAGGTCCCTCTTTGTCCCTCCAGCCATGAGGGTGGAAATAGGCTTCTCTTTGATGTCCGTTTGGAATCCACCTTGTCTCAACAAGCAAATGCCCCCAGGAGCTCCCTCGGGGCTCCTCCCCCACCTCCTTGCCCTCCTCACTAAGCTGACAGGCACCAGGGTCCCGTTCTAGGGCCAACACATTCAGCTCTGGAGCTCCACTTATGGAGGGAAGAGCAGAGCCTCATGAGACTTATGTTGTTTATCTCATTAGAACAGGAGGCACATAACTCAAAAGCCCGGGTGTGTGGAAGATGGAGGAGGGAGGAGGAGGAGGAGGATGGAGTCACAGCTGCTGTCAGGGAAATTAACCTTGAGGAGTGAGCCTGAGGCTAGGGGTGGATATGGAGGAGGGGAAGCAGGAGGCAGGAGACAAGAGGGGGGACCAGTCCTCCCTGGTAACCAAGGCCACGGCTACCCTTCCTTTCACACACCCCACTGAGCAAACTGCTTTTCTGTTGCCTTCAGCCGCAACTCCACTGCCCGTGCAAAAGCACAGGGACGACAGGGACAGAGAGGTGGGGAGAGGGACAGAAATGTGCACCCCCGCTAAGAGAACTAGTTCCACAGAAAATTTTGGTTTGAAAATTTGGGCTTGATTCCTAAATGGTCAGCAGACTCCAGACAAATATCTTGTGATACACGTTGGTCAAGTTCAGCAGGTGGGTCCTGAGTTCTGAGCATCTGTGACAGGCAAAGCATGAGCCATGAAAGATTCGGAAGATGAAATGGCAAAGGAAAGAGAAGGAAGAATGATCTATGGAAGAAGAACAGCAAGTAAAGTTTAAAAAAAAAAAAATCCTGAGATGGCTTCCTCTACCCCCAACCAGAGTGGACTGTGGAAGTTCAAGTCCACTCGAGGGAAGGGCTCTCCCTGTAGCATCCCAGAGAGGTGAGTCCACGGCCGCCACAGAACCTTCCCTACAATGGACAACTCAGTACTCACAGGTCAGCCTGTGCCCCTGTTGGCCAACACTGATGATAGAGATTCGCTCGGCCCTCATTATGAATCAAAATCTACCTTCCTGAACGTAGGCCAATTTGTCCACCCTGTGTCCCAAGAGCACACAGGAATCCTCAGCACCCCAACTCTCCATCCCATATATACACTCTTGAATTTGAAGAGGAGCCTAAACAAGAAGCTTCAGAACTAGAAAGGAACGGGAATGGGGCAGAGAGGTAGTGGCTCCACCTGCTTAGAGCCAGGTGACAAATTAAGAATCCAAATTAAGAATCCAAATGCTGCTACCCTTCATCATCTGTCCCCAAATCCAGCCCATTCCATACAGGAATAGGGTGGCATAGAAAACTCCTCTCCAGGCCATCAGTGCCATTTTAAGACCTCCTCCGTGTCTCACTCCCACCGTGTGTCACCACAATGGGTCATTAACAGCCTCCATGTTTATAAACAGATAATAACCTAAGCTGGGGATTCTTCACCAAGACGGGACATGAGAACTGCATATGTAGTTACCTAACTTCAAACCATTGAACCAGAATATCAGAGACGCCAGTTGTCGTGGAGAAAACGCCTACATAGGGAACTTTGTACCAGATCAGATCTTACTTATATTTATATTCTCGGGGCTTGCCCAGCACATAATAGGTGCTGTCGGTGACTGTGACTGAAAACACCAATTTGAACCAACTCTACAGAGCTGAAGGGATGAGTCACAGGTAGGGCTTGAAGAGTGGGCAAGATTATTTCACGAGCATTCACACTAGGGGCATTTCCACGGAGCTCTGTCCTCTCCCCTTCTCT